GACTCTTTGAGGAAACTCCTCTCTACTTCCTTTGTCCCTTTGGCTCTGGGAACCAATGGGGGTGGTGGACTTCATGAGGGGGGTCACAATTCTGCTCCTTTAGGCATTCAAACCCCTCCCCCATTTCCTGTGTCCCAAGTGACCTCACGGTCAAGCTTTCGGGGCACTTCCCTTTATTGCCAGGGCAGGAAGCAGGAGGGGGCTAGAGGGTGGATCTGGGCTGGGGAATTGATGTGAAGTGCGTTTGTCAAGCCTGGGATCTAGGGAATTCCTGGGGGTTCTTGCATATCAGGTTGTGTGTGGGGTGGGGGCTGGAGTTAAGTCCTTAAGCTCTTTAGCCAGTGTCTCATATAGCAGCTCAGCTCATCTGGCTCTGCCGGGTGGAGGTGGGGAGTGCTGGTGAGGAATGGTTCCCACGACTCACATAGAGGTCTACCCAGACCCTCTCCCCTACCACACACAGTCCACGCCCAAAGTGGTAGCTGTTGGGACAGAGCGGAGACAGAAGTCAACACCAGCCAGTGATGCCCTGGGTGGGTAGATGGGGGAAGGAGTGTGGGGGGAGGAGGGCAAGAGTCAGAGGCGGGAGGCAGCATCCATACAGTTCCTTCATCAGTGCCCAAGACCACCTCCCTCGGGGGTCGGATTCATCCCGTGACCCATCTCAAGTCCGTTCCCCGTCCAGGTTTCACTCACCGAGGGTACTCAGCCCCAGGAACAAAAACCGCAGCAAGCTGGTCGCAGGGGGCCTGGGCAGGGAAACCATGGCACTCCCTGGCCCCGACGGAGTCAGGGGCGCCGGCTCCGGGACACACCGACCGACAGGTGCTGAGGCGTCTCGGCAGCTGGGGCGGACGCGGGAGCCCGGCCACTGACACCGAGGGCGGCTCTGGCCAGAATCTGTGCGCGTGTGTCCCGCCGGCGGGGTGGGGACCGACGGGGACAGGGGGGCGGGGCGTTCGAGGGGGCGGAGAGGTCGCGGTCTTCCCGGGCGGGGCGTGCGGGTGACCCGCCACCGGGGGGGGGGGCGACTCCCGTGCTCCGACGGCCGGATCTCGCGGCCTCCACCCGAGCAGGACGCAGGGTGGGGTCGGGTAAGTCGCGGCGCCCCCACAGCCGGCCGGGGGCCAGGGGAAAAGGGAAGGGTCCTGAACTGCCACACTGGGGCCATACCCTTCCCCCTCCGCCGCCGGGGGGTGGGAAGGAAGACGGGGAACGGAGGGAGCTTTGGGGGACTCTCCGACGTCCAGAAGCCGCCTGCACGCTTGACACCTAAGCCGGCCGGGGCTCTGACCGGACCACCGCTCCGAGCTTGGGGGTACCGCGACCTCCGCCCAAGCGGGGCGGCCTTCCTGAAGGAGGAAGAGGGGAGTCGCGTTGTCCCGGAGCCACTGGGCTTCCTCAGGGTGTGGGGCGGAGCGGCGGGAGGGGGACCAGTTCTCCGGAGCCGGTCGGGAGGTGCGGACGGGGAAGAGATGCGGCCGAGCCCGCCTCCGCCCAGCCCCGCAGGGACCCCTGCGGATGCTCCGGGAAAGGCCCAGAGCCGCGCCAGCCGGGGCGCGCGGGGACCGTCTGCACCTGCGAGCGGCGGAGAGAAGGGAATCCCTGAAACCCAGGCCCCAGGTCACCGGGTCTTGTGCTTCACACCCCCGAGTAGGGGAAGGACTGGCGCAAGGAAGCCCCAGGAGCTGAGCAGGAAACTGAGGAAACAGGAGCCCGGCTCCCAGCTCCTCGCCTCTGAAAAGAATGGCTTATGGGCCTTATGCTGACTGGGGAAGAGGCGGGCGGCTGTGAGAAGGTAGACCGGACAAAGCCCCCGTTTCTTTATCCCCGTGTCTTCGCTGCCCCCCATCCGCCATCAGCCCCGCTCTGATCCTTTAATTCCCGGGACCAGATCTCGTTCGCTGTGAATTTAATTTAACCGTCCCCCCCCCGCCCCGGCCCACCCCACCACCTCCCGTCGGTCCAAAGGCACCTCTGCGCCCTCTGGCGGCCGCAGCTCCCTCACAGAAGGGCACGCACCTGTTCTTGCTTCTCAGTCCAACAGCCCAAATACAGATTAACTTCAAACATTCGGGCACCAGCTTAACCACCGAGCAAAGGTCACTGCGGGCAGAAAGCATAACAACGAATTCTTGGCGCTGCCTGCTCCGGGTGGCAGTTGACTGGGAAGAAAAGCAGCCAGGCCTGCGATCCCATTTATTCCACACAGTTCTGCTGTTTTAACACCGAGTGTGGTCCTGGTGCCTGCATGCCCCACAGACTCTCTGGGATGCCTCTGCCTGGTGTGACTTGCGTGGCTGCTCTTCAAATACCTGCCAGGCAGTGGCTTTGAGAAATGCCTGTGCAAACACTAGACCGCTCATGCAACCCCTGGAATCTAATACTTGGCAGCTGAGCCGGAGCACAGGCAACAGAAACAGACAACTGCCAGTCTCATACCCTTATGCAAGGACCTACAAACTTGGATCGTCAAGGAGAGTGTGTGTGTGTGTGTGTGTGTGTGTGCTTAGGGATTGTTGGTTTGGTTTTCCTATTCTATCACACTCAAATTTTTCCTTAGTTTACACTGCAAACCACCTCCTGTAAACATCCCTCCTTCATTTCCAGACTAGGGTTAAGTTACCCCAAATAGGTAACTCCTTCCAAGAAAGGTAGTGCAAAGTCTCTTGGTTGTATTCCAGGAATGCTAAAGCCGCTGATGACACGGGCCATGCTCATCGCTATCAAGTGCTATATATTCACTCTGTGTGTGTATGTATATACATACACACCCTCTGTAGCTAACTTTTTCGGAAAGTAGATCCCAAATAATTTGCAACATCGGAAGTAAAGCTGCAACCAAAGATGTGTAGGTGGTGAATCTTTCCATGTAACACAGGGGCCGTCCGGTTAGGACTCTTTCACCGCCCTCACCCCAACCAAAAGATCTCCCATTCCAACTCCTATTCCAACCACTTCTTTCTGCTGACCCCGAGTCAGTCAAAGTGACGGAAGTTAGCAGAGCAGCTCCACTCCTTTCTCAAAGTTTTTGCCAGGATGCCTTTTAGGACGAACACTGCTCTCTACCCTTGTGTAAAATGAGAATGTGGGCAGATAACCCGGGAGTGGCCTGGAGACTGCTTCCATAAACATGTTGCATGCGAGAGCTGAGTTCATAGTTTCGTATGTTAAGAGACATGCAGGTCACTAGCGTTTTTTCCAATCATACTTCATCTCATCTCTCAAAGCTCCTTCTCATGCTAATTCTTACATTTGAACATAGTGTCTCCATCCCCCCGACTCAGTTCTAAGGCTTCATGAAGGTCCACGTTTTGTCTTTAGTAACGCTCATAGAGTTATAGGATACCCTGCTATCCTCTCTTCTAGATTGTTCTGGCCAAAGAAACTGGATATTCAGTTATCAGCAAGCTCCTTTCTTTCCAAGCTTCCATTTCCCAGGGCTGTTTCTTCCTCTTGCCCTTACTGCTCACTCATCCCGGGTCAGACGGTGAAAACATACTGGTTCCGGGATCCAGTCTCGGCCCCCTTCTCCATGCTGCTCATGTTGCTCTAGAAATGCCCCATTCTCAGTAGTGTTAGGTAGATCTGAAACACCCTCACCAAATGTTCCCGAAAGTAACTCAACGGCAACAGAAAGTGGGATGGGAAAAAAAATGCATGAAGCATGTTGGCTTTGGGGTTGGTCGGTGGCAAAGTTTGGGGGGTGCCATGGGGTACTGGTAATGCTTTTTCCTGCAGCACTTAGCACTGAACATTAAGAAATTACTGCTAAAAGATGGTCAATGGAGCCTCAGCCTTTAGGTCTGTAATTCCAAGTTCCAAAGAAAAGCAAAGTCAGGAGAATTTCCTAAGGCCCATATGTATCGACTGCGCCCAGAGAGAAGAGGTGCTACACTCAAATTCCAAGAATATTTATACTCTCCCCGAACTAGCATCCACTTATTTTTTTGTTTGTTTGTTTTATTAAGTAAGCTCTACACCCAATGTGGGGCGTGAACTCACCACCCCGAGATCGAGAGTCACATGCTCTACCAACTGAGCCAGCCAGGGGCCCCAACTAGCATCCATTTTTAGCAGCTCATATCAGAAAACAGCCAACTCCTTAAACCTAGACTAAAATGACATTAATAAAAGTCATCCCATTGATTATAAGCTCTCTAACCATCGAAAAATAAGCATCAACCAACCTAGAGGTATCAGGATGAGAAAAATCACTGCTTTGAGGCCATTCAGGTTGTAGGAAGGAGATTTTTTTTTTATCAATATGCAATTTTATCTTCAATAGTATAAAAAAAGTGGGGAAAATTATAGCTCTTACCTGGATTTGCAGTCCATCTAAAGGAGAGCACCTGAGAGACGTTGAGGGAATCACTGAAGATAAACCATCAATCTAACAAGTCCCAGCCATGAGACCAAAGTGACCCTTGACTGCCCTTGCAGTAAGCTAGTTGTTAGCCAAGAGCACTAACCTTTAAATGGAGTGCTAGTTGATGCAAAGAAATCCCTGAAAGGTCTAAATGTGATAGTTACTTTCCTAATGGACAGATCCCTTACAACTTCCTTTACTGCGGATCACTTAAAAAGTTTTTGGATGTTTCTATTACATCTTCTCTTTTTTAACGAACAGCATGAGGACAATAAGTCCCCACTTAACACTCTTTGAGAGAGTGGCCCCTGCCGACCGAGTGTAAAGATGAAGAATGAACATCTCTTACAAATTCACCTATGTAGGGTCAGAAGGAATATCCCAGCCACTTTTCAAAAAGAAATACAAAATGCAATGTCCAGTGATTTTGGTGCTCTGACAAGAAATAGTGACATTGGTCAGCGGGGTGCAGAGAGTGAGAGAGAGTGAAGAAATCCTGCTCCCTTTGTTCTGTACATTCTGAGCAGTGAAGTCAGAACATAGACCACACTACCAGTGTGTCCACACCCTGCTACAAAAAAGCTCAACTAGTACTCCAAGAGGCCAAGATTACTTTAATAATTTTTTTTTTAAAAAGTTTAAATGGCAACACAACTGTAAAGTTGGTACATCACAGAAACAAAGGTCTTTGCAGGCAACACTGATTGGGAATAGCAAAACACTTGGTTGGTGAAAAAAATGAAACTCTAAATTATATACAATAGTAGCTAAGGGTGATATTGAAAAACAGTCTTATTTTTACTGTGACTCAAGATTTAACTTGCCATTATCTATTGCTTATTTATTCAGGGTTGTAAATAATACTTATATAGAGACATAGAGATGTGTAAAAATGAAACATTGTGAAAAAAATACAATTTTTCAATTTCATATGAAACTCAAAGTATAAGTTTTGTCCAATATGGAATGTACCTACATTTGTTTATATTAGGGCTCTAAAATCCATTTAAAAATCGTCTTTTTGTTTTTAAAAAAGGAACAGCTGACCCACCATGCAAGTTCGCTGTATATCTTGCTTGCTCAAAATGAGCATTTTCAGGTGAGGTCTGTTTTTTCTGCCCAAAGTCTAGCGTGATTCCGTTGAAGTTGTACTGGCCCGATTGTGGAAAGAATTTCCGCGAAGAGTCTGATGGCAGCATCTGGATGAGGGGCAGTCTAATGCAAAGTGAGTAGAGAAGAGGGAGGTAAGAGCCCAAATCCTTATGAAGGATGACATTCAGTTGTTAAATTTTAAGGGGTATCCAATGGCTTTTTCCAGGCACTCAACTAAAGAGCCAGCGGAAAGAAAATCCCTCTCTACTTCTACGAATTTGATATAGATGGATTTGGGGGAAACTCCGGGATCCACAAGACAGTTCTGAGACAAAAACCCATTAATACCAACCCAATCTTTGCTGAAGGTTTTGGTATTTGCCTGGAAATGTAAAAATAAGCATTGCTGGAGAGTCCTGACCTCAGCAATCCCGAGGTAGCAATAGATTATTCGGGTGGGTTCAATTTCCACCTGTAATGAGGCTTGTGCTGAGAGGGTCTCCAAGTCAACCCGGCCCTCCTTTCCTGGGTCCAGAGAACGTCGCTCCAGGTGTGGCGAGGGGGGCCTCTCCATACATTCTTCGTAGCCAATGGCATAAAGGCCTGGACTTTTGGGAATGCCTCCTGGTAATAAATACTGAACCACGTTCCCACCAGTTGGTTTGGAATGGGCAATGGGTATCCAGTCAATTTCCATGTGCAGCTCCAGGCACCTAGCTTCACTAATGGTGATCTCTAAAAACTTGTAGTAAACATTTTTCCAGTTCATTTTCTGCACGCGGGTCATAATGATCCGTCCCTCAGGCTTCTCAGAGTTGAAGTACTCCCGCAGTCGCTTGCCAAGGGGCACCTGGGAGCTGATCTCAGCATAATGGTAACGGATATCCTCTTTCCAACGGGTGTTATAACCAATTCCAAAAATGGCCAGTTTGTTAGAAAGATGAAGCCTTGAAAAGTCCGTCCAGCTCTGAAACAGTTCCCACTTCAATTGTACTGATTCCAAAATCTGTACGATATTTTGCATGATGTCTCTCTTCCTAGAAAGAGAAATACAAAGTCAAATTCCTCAGGTGTCTAGCTCAGCACGGTGCAACAGAACTTTCTGCGATAATGCAAATGTTCTGTATCTGCGCTGTCCAATATGGTAGCCATTAACACTTAAAATGTGATCAGTGTGAGATAGGAAAATTTTTTTTTTAAGATTTTATTTATTTATTTGAGAGAGAGAGAGAATGAGACATAGAAAGCACGAGAGGGAAGAGGGTCAGCGGGAGAAGCAGACTCCCCGCCGAGCAGGGAGCCCGACGTGGGACTCGATCCCGGGACTCCAGGATCACGACCTGAGCCGAAGGCAGTCGCTTAACCAACTGAGCCACCCAGGCGCCCCCGAGATAGGAAATTTTTAATCATAATTTGAAATTACGTTTAAACAGCCACATGTTGGGGCACCTGGGTGGCTCGGTCATTAAGCATCTGTCTTTGGCTCAGGTCGTGATCCCAGAGTCGTGGGATCGAGCCCCACATCGGGCTCCCTGCTCAACGGGCTCCCACTCCTCCTGCTTGTGTTCCCTCTCTCACTGTCTCTCTCTCTGTCAAATAAATAAATCAATAAAATCTTTAAATAAATAAATAAATACCCACATGTGACTAGTGGCTACCGTGTTGGACAGTGCAGGTCGAGATAAACATAGTATTAAAATCTGAGAAACACTCTTTCCTAGGAAATTTCTAGGAGTTAATGATAAACTGCTTTCCATCACTTCTATAGTCTGGCTGTATTAAACTCAGTAACTATTGATATGTAAGACCCTAGGATTTCAGAAACCCAAGGATCAAGAATTTAAAAAAATTTTAATTTATTATTATTAATTCCAGTATAGTTAACATGCAGTGTGATATTAGTTTCAGGTGTACAATCTAGGGATTCAACACTTCCATACAGCACCCACTGCTCGTCACGACAGGTGCACTCCTTAATCCCCATCCCCCATTTACCCCTCTGGGAATCATCAGTTTGTTCTCTATGGTTAAAGGGTCTGTTTCTTGCTTTGTCTCTCTCTTTTCCCTTTGCTTGTTTTGTTTCTTAAATTCCACATAGGAGTGAAATCATACGGTATCTGTCTTTTCTCTGACTGACTTATCAAGTGGCTATTATAATGCACAGGACGGCCTTCCGACCTAAGTACCAAAAGCAGATGAAGGATGTTGTATTCAAAATGGCATCCCATATCACTTAAAATAATAAATAGCTTAATTTCTAACCTGGAAGTTCTTAGAGGTCAGTAATTTTGGCCCATACATGCTTGCTGTAGGAAATGTACAACTGATTATGTCTAATGGCCTGATGCAGAAACAAAATGATATTTTCTTCTGTTTGTCTGAAACTCATTACTACTCCCAAATGTAGAACTGTCAGTTAAGCACAGAATTAAGATCCGAGAATTCAGATGGAAGAGGTCTACATCAAGCTTAGAGGGGAAAACGAATGAATGGAGACTATCCTAGAAAATATTTTCTAAAGGAGAGCAAAAGTATAGAAACCATTCCGATTTGGATTTGGAGAGTTAACAGAGTAAGGCTGAATGTGCTGGGAAGTTTTTGTTTCAAATGCTGCTTAACTCATATAATCATATCTGATACTTCACGATAATTCATGCACTACATATGAGCATATGTAATTACAAGTTTGTTCCTCAGGTATGGCAAGACTCTGATACTGAAAGATTGAAGTCTGCTAAATATTAACTTAGCAACAATCTATTACAGTCTATATCCGTCATAGGTTTAAGCTACAAAAATACTCAACGACTACCCCCATGTATGATCGAACATAGGCAAACGGAAGAGGGTGTACATGGTTGCTAACAACTTCTTGGAAGGAGACAGATGCTTGAAAGTTTCCTATTAAATCCTTGTATCTTCTAGGGGAAGAGTTTTGGGAACAAACTGTCATTTTGTTGAAATGAAACACATAGTCATTCTCAGTCTGTCCTCTTAACTGTCTTTGGCTTTCTCTGCAAGATGACAAAATGCTAAGATTTTGTCACCTGCTGCTTCTCGGAGCCAAAGACTGCCCTAGACTTATCTTCCACTCTAGTTTGTCCCAGAAGTTCTCAAGTAACGGAGTGGCCATCTAGATGATATCACTGCATTGTTGGAGAATGGTTTCTTCTCCGAATACACAAAGACGCTCAATGATTGTTCATATATAGCTTGGTGCTCGTGAGGTGAAGATATAGGACCGTGTTTCTGCATGAATGCTTGAAGAAAAGCTCTCTTTCATAGCCACCATCCTTCCTTGTCCTCTTCTGAAATGCTACACTGATCTCAAGGACTAGGCTAAGGAGTTGGAATGGAGGGCAGAGATTCTGCTCACTGATATATCCCAATGCCTGACATAAAGTAGGCACTTGGCAAATAACTGTTGACCAAATGAGCAGGTTAGGTGACTCTTCTTTATGGATGAAGGATGGTTTATTTTAACTCTAGGCTATGTCCGCTAGCTCGGGCTCAACCCAGCTATACCTGGGAAAAAAAAAAAATCCAATGCCCAGATGAAGTTATTTTATTCAGCACTGTCCTAGGCCTAAATCATCCCTAAGGAATAGTTCTGAGGAAACTTGCACTGGAAAATAAATGGCCTATTAGGAACCACTTTAAAATTTCTCCCCTTGTGAGCTAAAACTTGGGGAGGCAGCAAAGCTGTCCATTTTCTACGGAACCTGTCAGTGTCTTGCCCTGCTGATCTGATGTCAGCCTGAAGACCCCTGGGCCTAAGACTCATCACATTTTCAAAAATACAGAGCGCAGTAAAAATGAGACCTGGTGATTTAAATGGCTGCAGGGAAGGGACTATTTTAGTTCCTGATTTCTGAAGTTCCAACCACGGGAAAAGTGCAGATGGTTTGAGGGTAGGGACACCAATTCTGTGAAGCTTGAGTTCATCTCCAGGTATGTCAACTGGGCCTCCCCTCAAGGTCCCGAGTGGTGAAAGGGAGAGTCAGGACATTTTAGTGAAGGAGACACAATGGCCTTTTTGGAGACTCAGGATCTGAAGGGATGGGCAAGTAATAATGCATTTTTAAAACTATTCATCATCAAAGTTTGCCTTCCTTTGGGACATTCTGATGTCACAACTGGAAAACAGACCTACTTCCCAACAGGGGACCGACTTGAATCATAAACTTCTTTTTTGAGGAGTGGGGAGTGGTTACAATTTTAAGGAATAATTCTTGATCCCTAAACTTTCACCATCTCCCCTGACATGGGAGTAGCTGATACTGGGAATTCTTTGGTTCTACAGATACTCTGAAAAAGACAGGAGCATTTGCAAAGCCGGTGGTGGTGGTGGTTGGCTCGGTGAAAACAACAGTTTCTTTTTTATATTGCTTGTTGCTTATCACAGCTCTTTCCATATTGCCTATTCCCCCTCAAACATCAAGACTGCATGTGTGGAATGAAGTAGAGAAGGAGAAAAATGGATGCTACCAATGCTTCAAAATGACCAGGTTGAGAAAGAAAATGGCGTTCCTCTACTTTCCCCCTAAATTTATCTTTTAACGTATTTGTTTCATAGATTTAATCAGGGACTTCCTTAAAGTTATTTAAAAGAACGACAAACATACTATCACTGACTGAAACTCAGAGACCTGTGGTCTCCTTACAGAAGAGATAATGCTGAACTCTATAGGGGAGGGTCAGGTGATGTAGCCAGCAGAAGGACCCCAGCCTGGGACTCCATCTTTCATCCGTCAACAGCTTTTTTTTCCAAATGTATAAAAAGGCCACCTAAGAGCTCTCTCTTTGATCCCCAAAGTGTAATATCATAAGGAATGTAAGTGCCCCTCTGGCCCTCCTGTCATCTCACCCAATCCCAGATAAACTCAGGGCCCCGTGAATCATCTTTGTACTGTAACTAAACATGCACATAGCCACATTCACGTACAGGCAAACACCAACACACTTATTTTTGTGTTAATACATTTATTTCTTCATGTTGTATACAAAATTCTCACCATAGATTAACTATTGGCAAACGTAAGCTGAGCAGATGAGAAACCATGAGTACACCTGCCCCCTCAGTGGCATGTCTGTATTTTCCATACGTGTCTAATGACAACATTTCTGGGTCTTCCCAACGGTCATTAAGTTTAGGTAAATACACTTTGTAGAAAGAAGCATCTACTTACTGTGCTTCTTCAGAAGACTCTTGTTTTATTTTTAACGTTCTCTTTGTGACAGGTATTTCATCTGAAAAGCAAGGTTTTTGAAACAAATTATATTTTTCTAAAAATCATATTTTTCTAAGTAGCATACATTTAAGTAGAGAAGTAACTGTGTTTATTTACTGTGCATTTCATACTTTCCAATGCAAGGCTATAATTCTAGTGTCAAACACTGTCCAATGTCAGATTTATAAATACAACTCTTATATAACGAGATGCATACATTTATATGCAAGATCAGAAACCAGCTCTACAAGTATAAAATTCTTCAAGGTCACCAGTGGATTTGTAGCTAGGAGCTTAAAGCTTAATTTCACTGCAAACATGATTTTTAAGGGAACGAGAATGAAAAATGATTCTCTTCTATTTAGATATTCTATGTAGGTTTTACAGAGCAATTATTCCCCCCAATATCACGATCAATATACTCTGCATGTTATTATTTTCTTCCCAAAGGTTTGGGTGGAACATAACTCTCTAGGGCAAAACCCGAATAATGGGATGCCAAAGCAATTTAGACCTTATTACCGTTTAGAAATTAAAAGGTAGCGATCACTTGGCATCGGCCCTTTTTATTCTCCCGATCTTTAAGTCTCTTACATTGCATCAGTCTTATAGTTTTATAGCTTCTTTCTTTTCTCCTTTTCCCTTCCAATATTTGAGAGATTAAAAAAATAGCATTTATAGGAGATAATTAGCATTTAATCCTTTTTCTTTTGAATTAGCATTTTTCTCCATCATCAGGAATTCTGTAAAGCCGTGCCTATGCGCTTTTATCTTAAGCTAGGGAAGCACATTTATAGTGCCAATCCTACTTATACTTCCTTGGAGATTGCCTCAGTAGCTCACTGGGAAGTCAGAACATTTACTTAGGAGTGAACACTCATCACATAACTTGCTACCGAAGCACAACACCTGCACCGGAAACTAGACTCGGACTTCCAAACTACGAAAACCCCAACTGGAGCATTTGTTGCAAAAAGAAACAAAAAAACAACTACCTATACCCTGTTTTAATGAGGTCACCCCAGTTTGCATTTGATGGCCAAGAGTTCTGTTTCCCAGCTACTGCGTGGATGGGATCCTTAGTGAATCTGAATTTTAAAGGAGTATGATCACTGCTAAAATTCGAATATCAGCTCTTTTCAACATAAACTGAGGCTTCTCTTCTATTTTTTGTTTGTTTGTTTGTTTGTTGTTGTTGTTGTTGTTCAGACTAAAGTCTGGCTGGGGACCTTTCCCAATTCATAAACAGAAAAGTATTTGGGATAAAGGAAGGAAAAGACCGTCACGTCTAGAGCAGCTGCGCCAAGAGTTAACGTTCTTGGCAGTTGTCTTAGACCTAGACAGTGCGGGATATTTTAAATTGCATAGGATTCCACCTGTCACTGATTAGGAATTCTGGGTCTTCAGGAATTCTGCTCGTAGCCAGATCCAAATGACTCACAGCAAAGCACCAGCTCACAGTTTAGGGCTAAAGCAATGATGCCCAGGTCGCCCCAGGGAGGCTGGCCGTGTGCCTTGTGTTAAGCAGCACCAGAGGATGTGACAGGTACTAAGGACAGGTGCACATGTAAAGCTGTACACACACACACACACACACACACACACATGAAGTATCACACATACGGGCTTTCTTACCCAATTCCTGATCTGTTGGATAGCCATGGAGATCCTGACTGTGGTTTCCCCAGTCCTCCTGTGGATACTCCTCCATAGCGCTGCCATCTGACCCCAGCTCCTGGTACAAGCCACTACTGTTAATAAGTACAGGCTGGCAGGGCTGAGCATCCCATCCTCCCTGACCAAACACCTGTTCCAACTGTTCAAATGTGTAACTGCTCTTTCTTTTCCCAACACCATGTTCTTTCACCCGACTGTAACACCTGCGAAGGGTCTAAGACACAAAGTCTTTTGTTATTCCTTTAAAGCTGTATTCCTCTTCCAGGTACGGACCACAGATATTAATTACTATTAGACAGACACAGACAGACAAACACAGACACATTGTTACAGGAATGCTAGATTTCAAATTCATTATTATATTAGAAAAAAAAACAAAACTAATTTAGCATTTACGCAAACATGTTATAGTTCAAACAATTATTTTGCAATTGATCATCATCCATTAAACAACAAGAAACATTACAACATTATTGCATGTACCCCATACACATATTTTTATGCCCCCACCCCCCTTTTTAAAAAGAATAAGGGGAAGAAAAAAAAAAAGAAAACAAGAAATACCAGCCAGCCAATAGGATGCACACCTGCCACAGAAGAGAAAGAACTGCTCTTGTGCCCAGAATTTGGAAAAAGTGAGGGAAGGGAGGACAGAAAGAAGAATTTCCCAAAGCAAAGAATATAACCTTCCTTACTCCTAAGAAGGAAAACAGGGTAAACACAATTGCCTAAACGAATCAGCTAGGAAAACATACTACTTACAAAAATCCACAGTCCTTACTAACTGACCCTGTCTTTAGGGGAGTTGCTAAAATTTGAAGGAGGTCAAATCAATTATGCTACAGATCCCCAGTCTCAAACGTCAACTATCAAGAAACGATACACTCATTCCTACACCGAAAGATTAGCCAGTACTCATCTATTCGACCAACGCAAACTGCCAGCAAAACAAACCAACAAAGGAGGCCAATAATTTCCACTTCTTGGGTGGGGGGGGGTGGGAAGTGAAGTGGACAGGGTATCATTTCACTTCTTTCTCTGCCTTGTGCCACACTGCAAATAAAAATCACTATGTGAGTCCACAGAGAAAACCTGCATGATTTTATTATAGTGCACAACCCTTCCGTTTTGTTCATGGTCTTCTAATGCATACATTAGCCCAGTTTCCTTAACTCTGTCTTACATGATATTTTACAGGATAAATCAAGGACTTAGTGCCAGCATCCATTTAGTTTAGTGCTGTCCAGTGTCTATCCCATCTCTACTCCCTTTTGTACCTTCTAACCTCCCTTCTCCTTGACTGGACTTCACTCAGAATTTTCTTGAGAGACAAGACCCTTTTTCCCTGATGGCTCCCAAATACTTTCTAACTCAACTCTGCAAAACCGGCTCACCTCAGACTTAATTTATATGCATTAGCCAGACTGTAGGTTTCTCCTAAATGTGAGATTACTTTCCATAAGCCAATATATCGCATATTCTCACCAAACTGAAACAACTCCTAATAATCTTTACAGTGCCTCCATGAAGGTTCCATATCTTTAAATCACGGTTGACAAAAGACAAGAAGACACTGTCAAATACTTGGCAGATCTGTCCCCGGAGGCCAGAAATCCAGATGGGCGAAAGGAATAATAAAGCATGACACATAGGATGATCTTCCTCAGACATAACCAGAGCAGTGATTAATCACCCCGTCCGAAAACCAGCCAGCCTATCCCCTGCATAAGCACCTGCCTTTCTCCCTTTCTAGAGATCTCTTCTGGTGCTTCCAATGATGCCTTAAAGAACTGAGGTTTCTGATTAATACACTCCTTAAAAAAGTGTTCTCTCTCTTTCTCTTTGTAAAAGATAGTCACAATGACATAACACAAAACTTTCTAGAAAAAAATCAGGCATGAACTTGGGAAATGTGTCACAGGGCAACCCTTCCAATGATAGGAGACAAATGCCTGCAGCAGATCTCATTTGACTTTCTATATACTCCCCTTTCCCAGTGCCCTCTGCCCTCCTTGCAAGGACTGGAATTTGAATTGCAAACATCTCCTGCCAATTTATTTTTATCTCACAATGTCTAGTTTCTGCCTCCAAGAACACCCCAACCACTCTTTTCAAGTCCTCCAAGGACCGTACATGGAGAGTCCCGGCCATGTCCCTTTTACCCTTCCAAGGCCATAAATGGAGATACGGCTGCTCACCACTTACTGGCTGCCTAGAGAAAAGCACGCAGCACACAAAAGAGCCCAGTCGGATCTGTCACTGAGGGGTCTTTCAGAAGTCAAGGAATAAAACTGATGCTCCTTTGAAGAAAGGTGCCACCCTTATCAGGATGTGATATGGGCATAAAGCAAGGCCACCAGTCTTTGACAATATACATGGTGGGAAACCACAGAAAAGATTTACTTTCTTTGAAACCACCAAATTGAGCTTAAAATTTTCCTTGGCTTATAATTGTGAATAAGGAAACCAGCAATATCTAATGATTTTAGATACAGAACAGTCAGAGGATACATTCTATATTTCATCAAAAAAGACTAAGAGATCTTGCCATCTCTTTCTTCATAGTGTACTTTTGTAATACACTTTAATAGTGTAATGTGCTGATACGTGAAATATCTATCCGGGGCCTGCAGGAAAAATGTTCGTTAATTCCTAAATCCATACGGTAATAGGAATTTGATATGTTGAAATAATGTTCAAAAGATTTCCAGATTGACTTTAACTCTCTCAAGACGTAAGTACACATAAGAGATACCTTCTGGGTTCAGTAAAAGATCCACAGATCCAAGGGCAGGCTGTTTGAATAGGGACACATCAACTAAGATAGAAAAAAAAAAAAAAAAAGTGAGAACTCAAACATGAACTTGACCACCACTACGGGAGACAATGGAATTCAGTGGAACTGCAGGGACTTTAGAAAGGGATAAAAGGAACATATGGAGACCTTCCAATCAGAAAAAGTCGCACTTCCCACACTCTAGATGATGAACCAAAGCAGGCAATTAAATGACTGTGTGTCTGTGTCAACAGTCCTAAATAAGCCAACTTAAAAACCTACTCTAAATCTGAGATTAAGAGAATGCTCCAGAATCTAGGAAAAATAAAATCTCACCTCCCATTTCAGACAGCCATGCCAAACCCAACAAGAATCTCAGTTTAGCTTTCTTGGAAGGCCATTTCCTACTCAACACAAATACCTCACTGCCCTTCCTTCTTTCTTGACCTCACTAGTCTTAGAAATGTATGGTAATTTAACCTCTAGCATTTTTTTTTTTTTTTAATTAAGATCTCAGGGGTGGGGGAAGAATTTGCTTAAAATTATTAAAGACCAGTCTAGTCACAACTGAGAAGAATAACACTTTCCTTATCGCTAGAAATTTCCACGGTAAATCAATACTACAATCTCCTCCCTGGGAAAGAGGAGGGAGATAATACTGTATCTTGAATGCAGGCGGAGGGACAGAAGTCAGGAGCAGTCAAGACAATCTGGAAAGAAGAACTAAAGGATAGGTAACAACTTGATCAGTGGTCAAATCAGAGAAGTTGGGAGGTATCCGGTTTGGAAGAAATGCCAAGTGTTTCACCACTCCAACAGGAAAAGAACCAGAGAAAAAGACTTGGAAGGATCGTCCCATTTACCAATGCAGGGAGGAAAGTTAAGACGGCTGACAACTGCTAATTTATAGACAGAGGGAAAGTTTCACTAAAGTTTAAGACTGGGGTGAGAGGAAATGAAAGAATAAAGATGACATTCATTGTGGATGAATGTAAGGGGGGGTCTATGGGGGAGGGGGGCAGGTAAACAAAGGCAGGAGTTTTAGATTGGCAGGATTGGGGGTTGAACGGCAGCAATGCAGAGAAAGACCCAGGGTTACAGTACACGTAACATCAAATACAGTGCACAGTGCAGCTGTCTTGCCAAAGTAAGTCAATCCAGTATTGGGCTGTGCAAGCAGAGGAATCACATGTAAGCTATGAAGGTGGCTCTTCCTTTCTACTCAGCACCGGTGAGGCCACAGCTGGAGCACAGCGTTCAGTTCTGGGCATCGAACCAGCTACAAGAGAGGGAAATTGCAGAGTTCAGAAAAGGGCAAATAAAATAATGAAAGGCTTGGAAAATAAGATCTACAAGTAGGGCCAGTGGTCTCATCAAAGCCCTTCCTGACATTACGTGAGCTACTTTGGGGGTAAAAAAATGTGTCTTTCGCTCCCATGTCCTCCAGTCCCTCCTTTGACTTTCGGGAAGCAGGAGTTGAATTCCTTCCAGGAAGCAAACTCAATGAATCATATGGGCATATGCCCACCAGTTCTGCTACTGGCTCAATCATTTTCTCAAAATATGCCCCATTTCATACCATCATAAAATAAGCACCATGACAAAACCACCGTTCTAACAGAACTGGGACAGGGTCTATGATAAGGAGGAACGGAAATAAGGCATAATAGCTACATAAATGTGTTGTTTGGGAAACACTGGCGTGATCAATCTAAGACGTCAGATGAAAAACAAAGTCAAACTGCAAGGCAGGATAGCTTAGTCATAAAAGCAGGAAACAATGTTGTACGAAAAAACAAGCAGTGAAACAGATTTTCAAACATAGTTGTCAAACTGGCCGTGATTAGAAATGGATTACATAGTTGATCTTAACCCTCTAGCAACTCAATATGATAAATTTGAGATATTTTTTTAAACCTAAATGATTACATACAGAATATACTTATTTGCAGTCAGAGTCTTTAAAAATCACATGTTCTAGTCCACAAGCCATAGGGGAAATTATCCTGGGGGCAAATCTCCAATGACCAATTGTTTATGAAAGTGTTAAAAACAATACCTCAGCCTAAGCAGATGTGTATTTTGAAGCAAAAAAGGTCCTTGTGAAATACATCTATCTTCCTTTAAAGTTACTGCTGTAGGGCATCTGAGTGGCTCGGTGGGTTAAGCATCTGCCTTCGGCTCAGGTCATGATCTCAGGGTCCTGGGATCGAGCCCAGCATCAGGCTTCCTGCTCAGTGGGGAGTCTGCTTCTCCCTCTGCCCCTCCCCCCTGCTTGTGCGCTCTCTCTCAAATAAATAAATAAAATCTTAAAAAAAGTTATTGCTTTATTGTAACTGTTAAAACAAGTTGCTCTTAGTTAATGAGGTGACAACAACAACAAAAAACCCACTGAGTTTCTTTCAATATCTTTTAGAGATTCAAAATTTCTTTTTTTT